AAGAGTGCCCTAGAAAAATCAGGAGTTCTTTCGTTGCTTAGGTGTGGATCTGAAACACCTGCCAGTTCTTGGTTTTTTTACGCCCTCGACTTCCTTGTCTGGAGAGTTTTTAATCACCGTGTTGTTGTGCCAGCCGTCCCGAGTTTGTCCCTTGCCCGCTTTCTTATCTGCACTTACCAAGAAAAAGTAAATATTATAAATACTTGGCTTGAGTGCGGCTTTCTGCTAATAGGGGTGTTGTAGAAAGTGACCTGGGAAACGGGGACTTCCTCTGTATTAAGAAGCAGGAAAATGGGCCTGGTTAAATCCTTTGATGGTGGTTAAATCTCTTGACCTAGCACAAACCTTAGATTCAGGTAGTCGTTGACTTAGTCTGTTTAGTGACCGTTGGAAGTTACAACATCGCTGAAAAAAGGGGACTTAGGGCCGTTTTCTGCACTTAAGACTGTTGCAGCATCCCCTGGTCAAAATTCAGACGCTTGGCAACTGACTCGTGTTTATGACGGCCGCAGCGTCCTGGGGATCCTGCTGATAAATATGCATCAATATGATAAATAACACTGCGATCCCCTTTTGTGACCGTCTGACAAGCAAGAGTTAATGGGGAAGTTGGATTCGCTTCGCCCCGCACCTTCAATTGCCTAACAATGAGAAGAATTAACCAGGGGAACTGCTTGCCTCCAGAAGTTGTGGGTGCTCCATCACTGGAGGTTTTTAAGAGCCATTTGTCTGAAATAGGATAGGGGGTTTCCTGCTGGAGCAGGGGGTTGAACTAGAAGACCTCTAAGGTCCCTTCCAATTCTGTTATTTTTCCTTCCTTCCTTCCTTCTCCAGAAGTTGTGGCTGCTCCATCCCTGGAGGCCTTTCAGAAGAGACTGGGACAGCCACTCGTCTGAAATTGTATAAGCTCTCCTGCTCGAGCCCAGGGGAGCTGGACTAGATGACCTCCAAGGTCCCTTCCAGCTCTATTCTGCATTGACCGATTCCCCCCTCGTTGATCAGCAGCCCTCCCTTTTTGTGCGTGCGTGCGTGCGTGCGTGTGAGCTCTTTGCAGAGATAGGAAAATCAAGCAGAACTACTGGGGATTAACATGTAAGGATGAATAAAATCCTCTAGGCCTCTTCTCTTCTCCCCCCCCAGCCCCCCCTGAAAGCTCTGTGACTTCTCCTTTTGTCCTGGCCACTGATGGCACAGAGGCTCCTCTGTTCTCCCTTTTGCGGGTCCTTCAAGCGCCCCCCCTCAAAAAAAAAAAGCCTTGTGGTGTTTGTGTGCAAAAGCTTTCCAAGCCCACAGATAGACTGTTCTTTTTTTTCCCCCTTCCCCTCTGTCTCTCCTAAATTCCACTTTTTTTATTTTGATGGGGATGGGAAGCAGCTTGAGAAAATGGGGGGGGGGGGTTGTCAGCAGGCCTTTGGGGAGGGGGGGAAAAAGATTTATAGCAGGCTGGTCTTCCTCTGAAGAAGGGAGACAGGGAGTCTGGGCTGGGAAGCAATCGGTCAATCTCCGTCCACCTCCCCACCCACCCCGGCCTGGTTCCCAGCCCCCCCTCCCCATATCTTCTTTTCAGACTTTATGGGAGCAGCCCAGAGGTAAACAAGGCGGGCCTGGTGCCCGGGAGGGCCTTGACTTTGCTTAGGGGGGTGGGTGGGTGAGTGAGTGGGTGGGTGGGGTCTCTGGTTTGTTGGAAAAAAACAGGTCTGCTTTTTTGAGCAGGCCGCTGTCCAATGTCTGCTGGGCAAGGCTGAGTTAAGGGATTCCCCTTTGCTCTGGGTTCAAGTTCTGGGAGTGGAAGTCCAAATCTCTTAAAAGCCTCGTGGCTGGGGGATTCTGGGCGTTGAAGCCCACCTGTCTTAAAGCAGGCTGGTTGGGGAATTCTGGACACTGAAGTCCAAATAGCTTAAATCAAGATGGTTGGGGAATTCTGGGAGCTGAGGTCCACCCGTCTTAAAGCAGGCTGGCTGGGGAATTCTGGGAGTGGAAGCCCACCCATTTTAAGGCAGGCTGGCTGGGGAATTCTGGGAGTGGAAGTCCACAAGTCTTAACAGTTGCAAATTTTGGAGACCCCTCTGTCAGAAGCCCGGCTGGTGGGTTTGGGCAAGGTTATTTGAAGCGACCTGGTTCCCACATTGGCTGCCTGCCGAAATCTGCCTGGGGGTGGCGGGGGAGACATTGCTGGACCGAGGAGACCCCCCCCTTGCAACAGCCTCACAATCTGTCCCTCAGCTTGCAGATCCCCCACGTAGCACCCACCGAGAGCCTGCAGATGTGGCTGAGTCTTTGAAAAACATCTGGCTGGCTCACCCGGGGCGTTCTTTCATTTCGACACTGTCCTGTTGCACGTTGGTTTGGGGGGGGGGTCTGGAAACAGACCTCCAGCTGCCTTTGGGGCTTGTGTGGGCTTGAGTGATAGCATCGATGATGATGCAAAATTAGCCGAGGGATCCTGTGATAAAATCCCTTTTAAGTCCTGCTGATAAAGCTTCGCTTAAAAGATGCTTAAAAGAGAAACAATCCTTTTCAAGCTTTGCCAGACAGATTCTGCTGGGGATTCTGTTCCATTGAGTTTGGCTTCTGCTTGAGCAGGTTTCTAGTCCCCGTGATTTGAAATTGCTAGCTGGGGAAATACTGGGAGTTGTGGTCTAGGCATCTTAAAGTGGCTAAGCTTAAGACCACACCTGGAATGCTGCATCCTAGTTTTGGTGACCACATTACAGAAAAGAGAGTTGAGATTAAATTGAGATTAAAGCTGACAGGCGGAAAAAGTCGGCATCCTGACATTGCTGGGGTTGACAAGGAGCCTGGCAGGGAAATTTGCAGATGTCTGAAGACGCCGCTTCTGACCAGGTCACCACAATGCTTCAGTGCCAGGCTGTTAGTGGGGAACACGCAGCTGTGCCAACGTCATGCACCATCCAGCATGGGGCTAAGAGGTCCACTCTGCATCTAGCATCAGTTTCATCCTATTATCCTGATCAAATCAAAGCCTATTCTATTCTGTTCTGTTCTATTCTATTCTATTCTCCGTTCTATTCTATTCTATTCTATTCTATTCTATTCTATTCTATTCTATTCTATTCTGATTGATTGAAATGATCTAGGGCTTCCTGCTTGAGCAGTTGGACTAGAAGACCTTCACGGTCCCTTCTCCCAACACTGTTATAGTTTACATATTTCAGTCAGAATAGAGCTGGAAGGGACCTTGGAGGTCTTCCAGTCCAACCCCCTGCTCAAGCAGGAGACCCTAGACCATTTCAGACAAGTGGCTGTCCAGTCTCTTCTTAAAAACCTCCGGTGATGGAGCACCCACAACTTCTGGTGGCAAGCTGTTCCACTGGTTAATTGTCCTCACTCTCAGGAAATTCCTCCTTAGTTCCAGGTTGCTTCTCTCCTTGATTCGTCTCCATCCGTTGCTTCTTGTCCTGCCTTCAGGGGCTTTGGGGCAGCCCCTCTAGTCCTTCTTTTCATTCAGCCAGACATACCCAATTCCTATGGTTTAGTCTCCAGTCCTCAAGCTGAGGGTGCCCCTTCCTTCTGGAGCCCCTCCCTCCCTGCGGACTTGGCTCTGGGGCAGCGCTGGCCCTGTTCCCACGCCTTCCCTTCCCTTCCCGGCTGGCTGGCGCTCTCACATTCCTTTGCCCCCTCCAGTGGTGGCTGGCTTTCTTTGTCTGCTTGCAAGGAGGCTCCTTGGGGAGGGCAGCAGTGGGGGGGGGGGCTTCTAGGACTGGCTCTGGAAGCAATTTTGCAAACCAAGGGGGGTGGGGGCAGTGGAGTTTCCCCAAGTTTTCTGCTGGATTCCCATAAGGGGGAGGGGGTAGGCTCTGGATGCCAGGAGCTGCCTTATCACACACACACACACAATCACAATCACAGTTGCCCTCTTGAGGGGTGACATTCCCAGCAGTTGAAGTCCAGCAGATTCCCTCCTCCCACCCCCAATAGTTGTGAAGAGCTGGGGAAATTGTTCTTTTAAAAAAAACCAAAAAAACTCCCTGGCAAGTGAGGGAAGTTGCAAATCGGGGTCTGTGTTGCTCGGCCCTGTCCCATTGTTTCTCTGTCTTGGTTTAAGGGGGGTGGGCTTCGGCTCCCAGAATCCCCTAGCCAGCCTGCTGACTGGGGGAATTCTGGGAGTGGAAGTCCACCTTTCTTAAAATTGCCAAGTCTGTCTTTTAAAAAACTAAGCAATCTCTGGATTTAGCTCCCAAAGCAGCCGACACCCATGGCAACCGGTATGGTCTTGAAGCAACGCCAGCCTTGCAAGGGAGACCCCCCTCTGGCCAGGTGGGCGCTTCCTTGCAACCTGCCCCGGGTCAAGGGTGCTGCTGCAGATCAGCGGCTGAGACCTTGTCAGCCTCAGCCCGGGACGCTCCGGCCGGGAAGGTGCCCCTGCTAAGAGCATCTGAAGATTGGTGGGGATTAAGCTGGGCAGCAGATGGTGGCCCAGAGGGGGGCAGGGGGAGGAGGAGGAGGGAGGGAGGGAGGAAGGGAGGAGATAGATGGATGGATGGATGGATGGGAGGGAGGGAGGGAGGGAGGGAGGAGGAGATGGAAGGAGAGGAGGAGGAGGAGGGGCAGGAGAAGAAGGGAGGAAGGAAGGAAGGAAAGGGAAAGAAGGAAAGAAAGAGACTTAGGACCATTTTTCACACTTATGACCGTCGCAGCATCCCCAGGGTCATGAGATCAAAATTGAGACGCTCGGCCGCTGACCCATACTTATGACGCTTGCTGTGTCCTGGGGGGGGTTGTGGGATCCCCTTTTGGGGCCTTCTGACCAGCCAAGCCAAATTCACTTAACAACTATGGCAGGAAACGTTGTCAAATGGGGCAAACCCCGCTTACCAACAGAACATTTCGGCTGAGCGGGGGACTCCGTGAGGAAGCCGCCCGCCTGGGCCGGACAGGGGCTGCCAATGGGTCGTAAAATGCTGGGGGCTCTTTGCTCTGTTGGGGGTTAATTTATGACCTGGTCTCCCCCCCTCCCCTCCCTCCCTCCCCCCCCCCAGGCTGAAGCCGAGGTGGCCTCCTTGAACCGCCGCATCCAGCTGGTTGAGGAGGAGCTGGACCGGGCGCAGGAGCGGCTCTCCACGGCCTTGCAGAAGTTGGAGGAGGCCGAGAAGGCTGCGGACGAGAGCGAGAGGTAGGGAGAGGGGAGGGGGGGCTTGGTTGGCAAGCCAGGGGGGCTTCTGAATGGCTTGGAACAGGGGGTCCCTGATTTATGACTGTAATAGCCCCGGTTGGTAAAGCAGGTCGTCATGCAATTGTCCTGTCTCTTTCTTCCTTCCTCCCTCCCTCCCTCCCTCCTTTCCTTCCCTCCTTCCTTTCTCCCTTCCCCTGTCTATTCCTTTCCTTCCTTCCTCCCTCTTTTCCTTCCTCCTTTACTTCCCTCCTTCCTTTCTCCCTCCCTCTTTTCCTTCCTTCCTTCCTTCCTCCCTTCCCCTGTCTATTCCCTTCCTCCCTCCCTCCCTCCCTCTTTTCCTTCCTCCTTCCTTCCTCCTTCCCTCGTCCTTCCTCCCTTTCTTCCTTCCCCCCTCCCTCCCTCCCTCCCTCCCCCCCAACAGGGGCATGAAAGTCATTGAAAACCGAGCCCTGAAGGACGAGGAGAAGATGGAGCTGCAGGAGATCCAGCTGAAGGAGGCCAAGCACATCGCTGAGGAAGCCGACCGGAAGTACGAGGAGGTGGGTGGCCCTCCGTCCTGGCAGCCTCAATTTCTTTTGTGGAAATTTCCCCCCTGGGTCACCTGGGATTTGGGGTCTCTAGCCCGGTGCCTCAGCCCCCAGACCGAGCTGGCTCCATCGTTTCCCCGTTGACCCTCTTTGCAAACCCCTCGTCATCCTTCTAGGTGGCTCGTAAGCTGGTGATCATTGAAGGAGATCTGGAGCGGACCGAGGAAAGAGCTGAGCTGGCTGAATCGTGAGTGGGCAGCTCCTTCAGCATGAACCCCCCCCACTCTGCCCTGCCCCGCATGGATCGCTAACACCAGCGGCTTTTGCCTCTCCCCCCCCCATTCCCAGTTAGATGAGGCCTGAAGCTGGGGAGGGTGGAAGGGGAGAGAGTTGGACGTTGCTCCTTCCGTCTTGGCCTTTCCCGGAAGGACGCGGTGGGACTGGAGGCAGGGAGACGTCCGCATTCAAAGCCTACAACCCCATTGTGTTGGCCACTCCGACATGGCGGGCCTCGCATTCCCCCGAGCACCTGGACACCGGCTGTTAAAATTCACCCCACTTCCTGCTTCGATTGAGCAGTCTTGTTCTCTCCCCAAACCGGGGGTCTCCAACCTGTGCCACTTTAAGACCTGTGGACTTCAACGCCCAGAATTCCCCAGCCAGGTCTCCAAACTCAGCCATTTTAAGTCCTGTGGACTTCTGTATCCAACCGAATTCACCAAGGAACAAAGATGTGTATCCAGCATGGCTGGCTGGGGGATTCTGGGAGTTGAAGTCCACAAGTCTTTAAAGTGGCCAATGTTGGAGACACCCCCCCCTCCTGCCCCAGACCGCCGGTTGCATGTCTGAACAGGCGGGGAGGATGGGTGCACCAACACGGGCTGCGTTAAGCCACTTTCCACACAACCACACCTGGAGTTGCGGCTTTCATTTTGACACACACGTACACCCCCGTTGAGCTTCTTGGCCTCGTGTAATGAGTCCCTTCTCCACCCCCCATCCACCCCAAACCCCGTGGCACGCACCCCCTCAAATCCGCTCCCTGCCCGCCAAGCATGTGTTGTTGTGACCAATTTTTTTTTATTTTTCCTTTTCTCCCTTTTTTCCTCGCCCGCCTGCCCTTTTACGGCTGCTTTGCTTCTTCCCCCCCCCCCGTTGTCGCTGCCGTCGCCGCGGCTGATCCTTTCCGGCCCCCCCTCCCCTTCGAACCCGCGCCTCCCGGCCCTCCTTAAACCAGCCGTTTGCGAGAAATGAACAAGCAGAACCAGCTGATGGATCAGAACTTGAAGTTCCTTTCTCAGGCTGAAGAAAAGGTACTAATCTCTTTCCTTCTTTCTCTCTCTNCGTCCTTCCTCCCTTTCTTCCTTCCCCCCTCCCTCCCTCCCTCCCTCCCTCCCTTCCCCCCAACAGGGGCATGAAAGTCATTGAAAACCGAGCCCTGAAGGACGAGGAGAAGATGGAGCTGCAGGAGATCCAGCTGAAGGAGGCCAAGCACATCGCTGAGGAAGCCGACCGGAAGTACGAGGAGGTGGGTGGCCCTCCGTCCTGGCAGCCTCAGTTTCTTTTGTGGAAATTTCCCCCCTGGGTCACCTGGGATTTGGGGTCTCTAGCCCGGTGCCTCAGCCCCCAGACCGAGCCGGCTCCATCGTTTCCCCGTTGACCCTCTTTGCAAACCCCTCGTCATCCTTCTAGGTGGCTCGTAAGCTGGTGATCATTGAAGGAGATCTGGAGCGGACCGAGGAAAGAGCTGAGCTGGCTGAATCGTGAGTGGGCAGCTCCTTCAGCATGACCCCCCCCCACTCTGACCTGCCCCGCATGGATCGCTAACACCAGCGGCTTTTGCCTCTCCCCCCCCCCATTCCCAGTTAGATGAGGCCTGAAGCTGGGGAGGGTGGAAGGGGAGAGAGTTGGACGTTGCTCCTTCCGTCTTGGCCTTTCCCGGAAGGACGCGGTGGGACTGGAGGCAGGGAGACGTCCGCATTCAAAGCCTACAACCCCATTGTGTTGGCCACTCCGACATGGCGGGCCTCGCATTCCCCCGAGCACCTGGACACCGGCTGTTAAAATTCACCCCACTTCCTGCTTCGATTGAGCAGTCTTGTTCTCTCCCCAAACCGGGGGTCTCCAACCTGTGCCACTTTAAGACCTGTGGACTTCAACGCCCAGAATTCCCCAGCCAGGTCTCCAAACTCAGCCATTTTAAGACTTCTGGACTTCTGTATCCAACCGAATTCACCAAGGAACAAAGATGTGTATCCAGCATGGCTGGCTGGGGGATTCTGGGAGTTGAAGTCCACAAGTCTTTAAAGTGGCCAATGTTGGAGACACCCCCCCCTCCTGCCCCAGACCGCCGGTTGCATGTCTGAACAGGCGGGGAGGATGGGTGCACCAACACGGGCTGCGTTAAGCCACTTTCCACACAACCACACCTGGAGTTGCGGCTTTCATTTTGACACACACGTACACCCCCGTTGAGCTTCTTGGCCTCGTGTAATGAGTCCCTTCTCCACCCCCCATCCACCCCAAACCCCGTGGCACGCACCCCCTCGAATCCGCTCCCTGCCCGCCAAGCATGTGTTGTTGTGACCAATTTTTTTTTATTTTTCCTTTTCTCCCTTTTTTCCTCGCCCGCCTGCCCTTTTACGGCTGCTTTGCTTCTTCCCCCCCCCCGTTGTCGCTGCCGTCGCCGCGGCTGATCCTTTCCGGCCCCCCCTCCCCTTCGAACCCGCGCCTCCCGGCCCTCCTTAAACCAGCCGTTTGCGAGAAATGAACAAGCAGAACCAGCTGATGGATCAGAACTTGAAGTTCCTTTCTCAGGCTGAAGAAAAGGTACTAATCTCTTTCCTTCTTTCTCTCTCTCTCTCTCTCTCGCCTTCCCGGAGCGCCGAAGCTCTTAAAATTCTCGTTTTCTCTCCGGCTCCTTCGTGCACGTCTCTACTGTCCTCTGCTGCCTTGGATGCTTCGCGGGCTCTGCTCGCCCCGATCTGGCTGTCTCCAGTCCGCTTTTTCCTCCTGTTTAATTTTACATTTTTGCTTTTCTGCCGTGGCTGGTTTGGGCCAGGCAGCCCCCGCCAGATTCTGGCACAGCCGGGCACCTGGGGACCCATCCTTGCAGCTTGCAAGCTGTATATATCCTGCCCCCCTGGCCCTGGTGCCCACATATAGTTACTCCTTGGGACTTTGGCTGTCCTAAGCCGTTTGTCTGGAATGGTATAGGGCTTCCTGCCTGAGCAGGGGGTTGGACTAGATGACCTCTAAGGTCCCTTCCAACATTATTATTATTATTATTATTATTAAGACTGGCATCTTGGCATTCCCATCACCCTTCCCACTAAGGCTGTGGAAGCCCAGAGCATGGGTTTTTTTTTTTTTTGCGGTTCTAAGCAGGAAGTTTAGCATGAAAAGAACCACAAAAGAGGGGGAAGAACCAGGCACAAAAGGGGAAAAAAAATCAGATGTGTTTCTCCATAGTGGGATTCTACAGATAGTCCTCGACATACAACGGTAATTGAGCCCACAATTACGGTCGTAAGTCCAGAACGACGCCAGTGTGACTGGCAGGTAAATCGTTGGTTAAAATTGGTGGAAAATATCCCTGGGCTTGTTTTATTTCTGAAAACGCCCCCCCCTCCACCAAAAAGTAGCAGCAGGTTTTCATATTTTATAACTGCAACCAGGTGCCAAAGTCCCAGAGAGGATCTCTTCAACGTCTCCGCCACCTCCCCAGTCCCAACGATTCACTTCTTTGTCTTTCTCTCTCCTGTCCATCCTTCCCTCCCTGGCCCTTTCTTTCTTTCTTTCTTTCTTTCTTTTTTTTTTCCTATCCTTTCCTTCTTTTCCGCCTTGCCAACCCCCGCGCAGTAAATGTTCAGAGTTGGAAGAAGAACTGAAGAACGTTACCAACAACCTCAAATCGCTTGAGGCTCAGGCAGAGAAGGTAGGGGGGGGGCTCTCCCTGCTTAGAAATAAAATCTTGATGATGATGATGATTGGAAATAAAATCACGAATCCCTGTGTGGCCTTTTCGGGGGTTTTGGGTTCTTGGGTCTACTGAGAGAACAACCGTGAGTGACCCACTTGGGGTCAGCTGTTGGTTAATTGTGTTACCTGTATTTTGGCTGTTATAAATCTAACTCTCCATAGCTTTTTTATTTTATTATCTATCTATCTATCTATCTATCTATCTATCTATCTATCTATCTATCTATCTATCTATCTATTTTATATCATCTACCTATACCTATCATCTACCTATATCATCTATCCATCTATCATTTATCTATCTGTCTGACTATCTGTCTCACATCTGTCTGTTTATATCTATCTGTCTGTCTGTCTATCAATCTATCTATCATCTATCTATCTATCTATCTATCTATCTATCTATCTATCTATCTATCTATCTATCTATCTATCTATCTATCTAAATATCCTATCATATCTGTCTTCTATCTATCTGTATCCTATCTATCCATCTTATCTATCTTTCTTCTATCATCCATCCATCCATCTACCTACCTATCTTTCTATCTTCTATCATCCATCCATCCACCTATCTACCTATCTATCTGTATCCTATCCATATCTATCTGTCTACCTACCTACCTACCTACCTACTATCAAATTTATTTGCCTCCTGTCTTACCCAGGATAACTCTGGGCAGCTTACAATATTAAGAAGATAAAACTATATAAATTCCTAAGCATCTTGTCTTTTTTTAAAAAAAATATATACTTATGACATGTTTATAGAGTTGCAGGTAGTGCTCGTTTTATGGCCCCAATATATGTGGCTAAGCGATGGCGGTCATTTAATCAGTTGCACCCGATTTTATGAACAGTTTTGGCTGTGGTTGTTAAGTGAAGCACGCAGTCGTTAAGGAATCCGGCTTCCCTCATTGGGGGCTGAGAGAGCAGCTGAAATATTTCTACCTGAGAGGCATAGAATAAACCCCAACATTACCAGGGTGGGCGTCTCTACCCCCAACCAGGGACCCGACTTCTGAGGGATGACGTGCCAGTGTGACACACGCGGTTCCAGCGGAATCTTGAGCGTCTCTTTTTTTCCTCCTGCAGTACTCCCAAAAAGAGGACAAATATGAAGAGGAAATCAAGATTTTGACTGACAAACTCAAAGAGGTGAGTGGCGTGTGAGGCTGGATGTGTCGGAGAGAGAATCTTGCTAATAAGGGCGCAAAGCACAGATTTGAGTTTGGGGGGGGGCAAAGCCCAAACACGACCAGATTATCTATTAACGCTGAATTGGAACCCTGACAGTGAGCACAATTAACCAGTGGAACAGCTGGCCTCCAGAAGTTATGGGTGCTCCAACATTGGGGGTTTTCAAGAAGAGATTGGGCGGAAATAGGATAGGGTTTCCTGCTTGAGCAGGGGGCCGGACTAGAAGACCTCCAAGGTCCCTTCCAGATGTGCTGTTCTGTAGTCCCTGATCAATTAATCAGTGGAACGACTTGCCTCCAGACGTTGTGGGTGCTCCATCACTGGAGGTTTTTAAGAATGGTCTAGGGTTTCCTGCCTGAGCAGGGGGTTGGACTAGAAGACCTCTGAGGTCCCTTCCAACTCTGTTACTCTGTTTGGATCGTGTAACTACTTTTCTACCTACTGGTTTGAAACTGTTGCATAATTCAACCAGGAACCTGGTCACCTTCCACAACTAACTAGCATTCTCCTACCTTCCACAGGCCGAGACCCGGGCTGAGTTTGCAGAGAGATCAGTAGCCAAACTGGAGAAGACCATTGATGATCTGGAAGGTAGGTTTCACCTGAAAAGTAGTTCTGACATGGTGTCCATGGAGATGCTCGGTCATCCAAGGTCATGGTTTTGTCCCAAAGGTGCCTTTTTTTCAAAAGTCAACCGGACTTTGTTTTTCCGTGAAGAAGTTTCGCTTCTCATCCAAGGAGCTTCTTCAGTTCTGACCGAAGGGTGGAGGATGGAAAGACTGGTATTTTTTTTAGGAGCCCTCTGGTCGTTAGGACTCCCTCCGAGTGGTGGAGGCCATTTGGAGACCACAGATAAACCTTCAAGTGGCCTCAACGACTCTCGGAGGATGACTCCAAGGAATATAAATCCATCCGCCATTCAATCAGAACTGAAGAAGCTTCTTGGATGAAAAACCTCTTCAAGGAGAAACAAAATCCAGTTGGCCTTTTGAAAAAGCTCCTTTGGGACAATTAAGGCACGGGGCTTTGTGAAATTCTGGTTACCCCCAGAATTCAGAATAAGGGTGAAGAACAGGTGGTCCTCCAGATCTTCTCAAGCCTCAACATTTAATATCTATCACCGGGGTGCCTTAAGCTGCCGGAAATACCATATAATATCACATCATCTGGAGAATAGCAGCCTTCTCACTTCTGATCCAGACGTGCACACCACAGGCAAAACTTTACGTGAGCTCCATGGTTGGATCCAGATGCTAGACAGCCAGATGTTTACAGCCCGCTGTTTACGGCCAAGCAAGATTCCCGCAGTCTTCTTTAACCAGATTTATTGAAAGGGACTCAAGATTAGATTCCTGCAGTCTCGGTCCCTGGATATTTTTAGTTTAGCACACGCGTGATCTCTTTGTTTCTCTCAAGAGATTTTGTGTCAGCCACGCCTTGGTGCCTTAGAGGGAGAGCTAATTGTTTTTCTCATAAAGGAAGAATATGCAAATATCCGACACCCATCGTACTTTGCAAAATTTCAGACTGGGAAGTGGCGGGTCCCGGCTTCTGTTCTCGCACATATATTTTTATATGTAAAATGGTCAAGAGAGTTAGAAAGAGCTCATCTCTTGAGGCCTGAAGTTGTTTCTCCAGCCGTTCTGGGCCCAAACAGAGCGGCATTGTTTCCCTACGAAATTCAAATGAAGTGGGGCAGGGCAAAATCTGGAAAAGAAAAAAACAACAACCCCATTTTCCCTTTGCTGTGTGTTGCCAGCACAAAATAACTGAGGAGGCGACAACTTGGATTTAGTTATTATTTTTTATTTTTCTTTCTGGACACGGGTGGGTCCCGTTTCGGGGAGATAAAGTAGATTTTTTTTTAACGTTCGTTGCAGCCTTAGCTGAGTAGAGTAGAGTAGAGTAGAGTAGAGTAGAGTAGAAATGGAATGGAATAGAATAGAATAGAATAGAATAGAATAGAATAGAATAGAATAGAATAGAATAGAATAGAATATGGAATGGAATAGAATATGGAATGGAGTGGAATGGAATAGAATAGAATAGAATAGGCCAAGTGTGATTGGACACACAAGGAATTTGTCTCTGGTGCAAAAACTCACAATGCACACATAAACAGCAAGTTTTAAACAAATCTATGAAGTTTTTCTCTTTTTTTCCCCTCTCTTCTGAAATCCTAGAAAATGGTAGTAGGATCCTTGCAATTTCTTGAATGGCTGGATCGGGGTGACCCTTCTAGCTTGTCTCAAGGAAAACCAACCCTGTTTGACCTGGACTCTCCTGAGGCCCCCTCTGTTCCCTCTTGTAATGATCTCCCCCCCCCCAATTTTTTTAGATGAACTCTATTCTCAGAAATTGAAATACAAAGCCATAAGCGAGGAACTGGACCATGCCCTCAATGATATGACTTCCATGTAAATATCGACGTGTGCAGTGAGCTGGAGGGGGGGGGGCTTGTGTGTTGGCCTTTTGTTGGGCATGCTGTGTGTGCTGGGGTGTGGGAAGGCAGGGGAAGAACAGAACATCTCCGAAGTTGTGCAAGGTTTAGGGTTGGGGTGCCTTGAATGCTCTCTAACTTGCAGTCCCGTGCACGATTCCAGGGGCCATTGCAGGGGACACCCCTACTATTTGGGGGCGCATGACTGTCCTTCAACCCTCAGTCTCAGCTTTGGGGGGGATATTAACCTCTTATTATAAGAGCCGCACGCCTGTGGGTCGTTTACCAGCTCCGCGCTGCTGTTGGTTGTAGCATGGTGCCACAAAGCAACCGCAGAGGAATCGGGACTCCCGATTTGGATGTCATTCTACGACAAACCTAGGATGTGCGTGTCAAAGGAGACACACAATTTTTTTTGGGGGGGTGACACGCCAGCATTCGGCAACACCCGACCACTAACGGGGTCATCCTTGACTTACGTCCACAATGAGCCCCAAGTTTATGTTGCCAAGTGAGGAATGTGTTAATTTCTTTGTCCCGTTTTACGACCTTCGTTGTTTTGACTGAATTGCTGCAGTTGTTAAATTAGCCGCCTGGTCGTTAAGTGAATCTGGTTTCCCCACTGACTTGGCTGGTCAAAAGGCCGCCAAAGGGGATCATATTTGTGACGGTTGCAGCATCCCGGGATCACGTGGTCCCCTTTTGCGACCTCCTAACCAGCCCCGTCGATGGGGAAGCCAGGTTCGCTTAACAACTGTGTTGCTAACTTGAACAACTACAGTGGTTCCCTTAGCAACCGTGGCAGGGAAAGTCGTAAAATGGGGCAGAGCTGGCCTAACAAGTGTCTTGCTTAACGACAGAAAATTTGGGCTCAGTTTTGGCTGTACGTCGAGGACTGCCTGTATTGGAAATGCATGAGGGAGTATCTCGGGTGGGGGAAGAGAGAGAGAGGTTCTTCTCAGGACATCCCCTTGCTCCGGTGTGGTGTTGTCGCTTTCTCGAAGGTGTGGTGCTGGGGTGTTCTCAGCCAAGTGCGGCTTGCTCGCGTCTAACCGTTCTCAGACCTCTTTGGCGTCGGGCGAAACCTTGCTCAACAATCTTGACGTTTCCACCGAGTGTTGGCATGGTTGTGTGAATCGGGCTCCTTTCTTCGCTTCTCTTAACCGCACCCGTCGTTGCCGCAGCACAAGGGTTGTGTCCTTTTTCTCGTTTACCTCGTCCCTTGCTTGCTGCCCTAATTCCCTCCCCCCCTTTCCCCCCCCAAACCTAAATCTTCCTTCTCTCTCTTGCACATAGATAAAACCGGTGATTCCAAAGCTCCGCTTACCGGCTCGGCCTGCAGCTTTCGAAGTCGCCCTTTTATAAAAAAATGTACACCTGGGTCCTCATCTTCCTTCCTTCCTTCCTTCCTTCCTTCCTTCCTTCCTTCCTTCCTTCCTTCCTTCCTTCCTTCCTTCCTTCCTTCCTCCTCTAATCCACCCTTCCTGCCTTCCTTCCTTTCCGTCTAATCCTTCCTTCCTCCCCGATTCTTCCTTCCTTCCCCCTCTAATCCATCCTTCCTGTGTCCTCTAATCCCTCCCTTCCTTCCTTCCTTCCTTCCTTCCTCTCCCCCCCACATGCCCCACATCTCACGTGCACCCATGCCAGGAGGGGGGAGGGGGGCGAGAAGCCTCATCTTTTACACGAGTGTCCACTCTCCGGCAGAGACGGCTGTCTGGTCTTGCACACCTCTTCCGAAACACAACCACCTTTGTGATCTGTGGACTTTTCTTGGGTGGCTTTATGGGGTGTGTGTGTGTGTGCTTCTCTGCAGAGAGTCCCCCCCCCCTCTGCTCACTAGCTTGCAGCAGGAGGAGACGAGCGCCGCCGGATTGGGGCACGGCAACGGAAGCGTTGCAGCTGCGCACTGCCTGGGACACAACATGGTTTTCCCCTTGTACGGCCCTCCTTGGAAAAATAAGCAAAATGCACTAATGTTGGCTTGTGTATCATTTGTTCTTCGGACCTCCACTTCTTAGGACTGTGGGGTTGGGATGGAGACAACTGCTCTCGATTTACAGGGAGTCCTCAATTTGTGACGGTTCCAAGTTACAACAGAGCTACTTACAACCCGTTGTTGGAGTTACAATGCTCTGAAAAATTGGGTTTTTAATGCTTAGAGAATGACCTCAAGATCAGGACCGTCCAACTTTTGGGGAATGGGGGAATCTGATCTGTAACACCGGGACCCCAACATAAAAGGAGACCCCTCTTTGGGGGTCCCATTCAACGATAACAGACAGTCCTCAACTTACGACACACAACTGAGCCCCCAACATTTCCATGGCTGAGCCAGACCGTTGTTAAGTGAATTTTACCCCATTTTACGCCCTTTCCACAGTTGTTAAGCTGGTCACACGGTTATTAAGTAATAATAATAAAGCTGGAAGGGACCTTTGGAGGCCATCTAGTCCAACCCTTTGCTCAGGCAGGAAAACCTATAGGGTTAGGGTTAGGTCACCATGAGGTCATACAGGAAAATGGACATCGCCAACAAATTCCTGGTAAAATACATGGGAAAATCCCATTGGAGTGGAAAAAGTGGAAGTGGAAAAGCAGAAGTGGCACCTGTTCACACGATTTAAGGCCTGAGGATTAGCCAGGACGAGCTGCCAGCAGAGGAAGAAATACAGCTGCTAATAGACATCAGGAGACCCCCTGGTTTGAGGTCAAAGGCCTTGGTTATGGGTTCCACGCCAATTCAGAGCTTGCAAAGCCAATTCGGAGCTTCAAAGCCAATTCAGAGCTTGCAAAGCCAATTTGGAGCTTCAAAGCCAATTTTCCTCCAATGGGATTTTCCCATGTATTTTACCAGGAAACACAGATAGGGCAGCCTAGAAAAGTCGGTGCCCTCCTAACCATACCCAAGCACTACGAATTTATATATAGGAAATATAAATATATGTATTTCCTGGTCCTCTCCAGGTGCCCCTTGAGAGTCCGAATCCTGATTTATTTGCAGTTGGAACGTGTTGGTGGGGAGGGGAGGCTTCTCTCTGGGGCTACTAACCTTCCCTTTTTCTTTCTTTCTTTTCCCTCCCTCTTTCTCTCTCCTCGTTCTCTTCCCCTCTTCCCCCGCTAATCTCGCCCTCTTCCTTTCTGGGGGGGGCGGCGGCACCTTCTACCACCACCCCAGACCGTCTCTTCAGCCAGCTTGAGCAAAACCGGATGCTAGCTAGTGAGCTGAAGTTAACCCTGCATGATCTGAGCGATTGAAAAAATAAACAAAAAACACGGGTCCACCGATTTGATTTTTTTTTTCTTTTTGAACCCAAATTCCTGGGTGGCTGCAGGCTAAAAGGGGGTGGGGGAGACCCACCTCTGAAGGCCGAGCACCCCGTTTTTCCCCACTTAGGGCGATTAAATGCTCAAGAACCCTGGAAGTTTCCACTCTTTATCTGCGCATTTTTTTCTGAGCTGAAAAATGACACTAATCGCAGCCCGTTGGCTCTTAAATAGACCCAATGCCTGGAATTAAGAGTTGTGTGTTCGAGAAATATTTCCTTCCTGGGGTGCAGAGCTGCTAATGCAGGCCTTTTTTCACCCCCCCCCCCCCCCGTGGCTGCCTTCATTTTCCGCTTTGTCCGTAAAGCTCCGTTTGCATGGATCGGCTTGTTCACGCGGTTTTCCTTCCAACTTTTCTTTCCTGTCTTTCAATAAAAAACCACTGGCCCACTTGTGATACGCCTGGGGTCGTCTCTTTATTTCTTGGACGGCAAAACCCTTTCTAAACTGAGAGCCGGTGCCCAACAGACAGGAAAAACAGAAACAAAAAAATCCTGGATTTGGCAAGAGGGTAGGTATCTCGACCCCCCCTGGCATCGCTTCAGCGGACAGGCAAGGATGATCCGTGGCTACAGGAGTTACGTCCGGTGGGTGATAACGGAAGCTGGAAACGGTTAGAGGCAACTAGTTGTATAGGAAGCATGGTTTATTTTATTTATTTTTTGCACTGGAAAAAAAATTCCTTTATTGCTTTAATAAAAGGCTGTTTTCACTTCTGGCTGTTTTATCTGGCCTGGACTGGATTCTGAATGGTATTTTCCTTCCTGCTGCTATGGAGTTGGAAATTCTGGGGGAGCCCTATTTCTTCCCCAAATTCCTAGCAATTTCTGCTTTGCACACGGCAGGCTTTCGGCTTTGGCCTCGGAGGGTCACCGGGGAAGACTTAGGCCCCAGAAATGGAAGGTCTGAGTTCTAATCCTGGTCAGACAAACTTTTGGGGAGAATTTGAAGTCATTCACGCTTTCTCAGCTCAGCTATTTTGCAGGATCGAGGTCCCCCCGCCCCAAAATAGGAATTTAAATGAACAAACCACGATCTGGCCAGGCTGACAAAGTGCCCTGCCTGATGTGGGTGTTCTTGTGGGTGTGTATGAACCTCGGTTTGCTTCCCCAGGGAAGGCACGGATGATTTTATTATAATTTACGAGGATTCGTTTTTAAAAGCCCGGGAGGCGGGATCCTTTGTCCCTGCATGTTATCCTAAGCACCAGATTCTCTGCTGCTTTATCATTATCATATTATTATTATTATTATTATTATTATTATTATTATTATTATTATTATTATTATTATTATTATTATTATTTATTACTATTACTACTACTACTACTACTACTCACAACTCCCTTTGCCCAAATGTTCACGAAAGCTGTGCGTGGCGAGGAGTTAAAAGGGCATGCACATCTCTTTCACAAAAGTGCAAGCTAAAACACCTGTGTTTTGTCACCAGAGCCACGTGCGGGCTTTGTGGGTCACCCGAACCCAGAAATTGTTCGCTTGTGGTCCCAGATTTGGAACAGGGTTTCTGGAGGAACGTGGCCTTGAAACCAATAACTGAGCTTTCAACATTGCCAAGAAAAATGGAAACGAAGGGAGTCGTCCTTGGTGCTGTCTGAGCCGGGTGGTTTTATGACCCAAACTAGGGAAGATCGTCATCTGTCCTAGTGGGGTTTGCTGCAAATGCGCCTTCTAGCACTGATGAGGTTACCTAGTTGGGTCGTGAAACGTCTGCAAGAAAGCCACCCGGCTCGGAGACCACCAAGGACCCTTTGTTTCTCCCTCGAGCGAGAAATATTCTCCTTTATTGGTAAAGATGGTTCCAAGTCTTTGTTCAGAAGCAGCCGAGCCATTTCCTTAAACCTTGATTCAGCCCGCTGCAGAAATGGGCAGAGGAAGCTTATGCGGATTGAGTTTTGCGGGGCTGTTTTTCCAGCGCACACCACACATTGCTCTGCTTATCTTTGGGCAAGACGGATCGGCAACCGAGGACCGCATGGGGTTATAAATGAATAAGAGAAAATCTTATTCATGGAGCAGGGGAGCAGAAGCACGACCCTCGCCAATCGAAGCTTCGCATTGCCAGGGGTGCCCCTATTTTTTTGGGGGGGGGAAGAAATACAGAGAGCCAAAGCTTTTTTCCCCCCCTTTAAGCACAACTAACATTTTCCGTTCTTCCTTCCAGATAAGCTGAAATGCACCAAAGAGGAGCATCTGTGCACGCAGCGGATGTTGGACCAGACCCTGCTCGATCTGAACGACATGTAAAAGACCCTCGGCAGCCCCCTCCCCAACTCCTTTTCTCCACCCCACGGCCCTCCTGAGCAGCCATTCTCTGCCGAGTTCGGCTCTGTTCTTTTTTTTTTCTTTCAAGGAGGGGAAAAAATAACCACAAAATTGACCTCTAAGCCCTCTCGAGGGGAAAAGTCATAAATTACATTCCTGATGTTTGGGGCCAACGTAGTTAAAAAAAACTCTGCCCTGCTTTTATTTGTATTTTCTTCCTTGTCCATTAGACAATTCCCAAATTTCCAGCCAGAAGGAAGGGAAAAAAATAGGAAACCTCCCCCCCCAGAAAGATTACAAGAGAGCGAGCAACTGATTGAAATGCACCTTTTTAAGGCGCGAGATTATGTGCGATGTGCATTTCGGTTTAACCAGCCTTCCCTTGCCGAGCATGTGTTGTGAAGGCTCCCCCAGTGCTCAGCTTTGAAGCTTAATTGATGTGCTCGTTTGTTTGCCTCTGAATCGGACGGGGCCAGTTCGATCGGTCGGGTAACCGCAAATCCTATCGTTGGTCCGAAGAACCAGCCAAGCTTTGTAGCGTCCGCTAGCAGACGAGGGGTTAACCTCCGCAAGGAGCAGTCAATCCTTCCCTCTTCTCTCCCTTCCAGTTTTTGAATATTTAGGTTTGGCTTTTTTTTTTTTTTTTTTTTTTAGGAATAAGTCGGGCTGAGGTGCTGTTTTAACCCGTGTTTTTATAACTTTTTTCCAGCTGGGGGGAAAAGAACGATGTTTTTTTTTAAAAAAAAGCGTAATCGGGATGCGTGTATTTTTTTTTTTTTAAGTTTTCTTTTCTTTAAACCCATGTAAATCGTTCTGAAGCTCCTTTGCTTTCCTTTCTGCACTTAATTTCTGACACTTTGGGGGAAACACTATATCTGAATAACCCACGTTTTCTTCCCACTTAGATTAAAGTTTCTTGGTGCTTGGTGTTCTGTGCATAGGGGTTTTTGTGAGGGGGGGGCTTTAACTTTTTTGGGTGCTCCTGAATGTGTGTGGGGGGTTTTCCCCTCCCTCTCCTGTTTCTAAGCCAGGAGCTGATTGTTCTGTCTTAAAGAGAAACTGGACGTACGGGACACCTCGATACTCTTGAAAATTGATCCCCTAAAGGTTGTGGGTTTTTTTTAATGCATCTTTGTACAGGCCTTTTGGGTATCATAGGAGGAACACTATACGCTGCCGTGGTTTTTCAGAGCCAGTGTGTGTATTTGAAGGGGGGGGGAAGGGAGAAATTAGGAAATTATATCAAATGTTTTGATACTAAAAAAAAGCTTTGGTCTTTTATTGTCTTTTTTTTTGGAAATAATAAACAGAAACATTCCCTCTTTCCCTTTGTTATTTTTTTTACTAGGATTTTTACCGGTGGGGGCGTGGGGTGTGTGTTCAGTACAGGTAGTCCTTGACTTACGACCAGAATTGAATCCCCAATCTCTTGTTGCTAAGCGAGACGTTTGTTAAGTGATCTTTGTCCCATTTTATGATGTTTCTGGACACAATTGTTAAGTCAGGGGTGATATTTTTTAAGTCAACAAGCAGAGTGTCTTGTTAAATTCACACCACCACACAGGAACTCCAGTCAAGTCCAGGTACGTTGGTGGTTCAGCCCAACCCGTTGACTGTTTCATTAACCCAAGTTTGGGGGTCAACATGTTGAGACAACCCAGAGGCTACCAAGGCTGCCATTATGCCATAAAGGGTAGAAATTAATCCACCCCTCCAAATTTGGGGTCCACCCTCAAGACCACAATTTCTATTCTAGACTGCCCAGATGTTGCATTGAACTTCTTTTTTTTGCGTTGCAAGTCTTGGCACCGCCTCTAGGTGGCAGCAAACGCCAGAGTTTGGGGTGTCCCAGCTGCCCTCTCAAAGTCGCCTGCAGTATTGCAGCTCAAGAGACGGCCGATCTCGTTTCACAACGCGCCTCGTCGCTCTTTCTGGGCAAATCCCATAAATCCCCAAGAAATCCGATCAGCCCTTCAAGTCAAATTCAAGAATAAAAATAATAAAAGTCTGCGCAGGCGCAAACGCGAGGAAGCGCCTGTTTTAAAGGCGGAGCCGGGCGCACGCGCAGATTGACGACATAAAGTGAGATTGGAACGTGACCAGATAGCGCATGCGCATCAGGTAACGCGCGCGCGTGAGAGAGAAACAACGTTTCTTTTGGCCGCCATTTTTGGAGCCGCGGCCGGGCTCCTCTCGAAGATGAGGGCGGTTTTCCGGCGGGCTCGGGCTCCGCCGCCGCTTTTCCTCCTCGCCGTGGCGCTTCTGACGGGGCCCGCGGGGGCCTACAAGCTGAACGTGCCGAAAGTGTTGCTGCCCTTCAGCCGGGATAAGCGGGTGCCCTTCGTGCTGGGCGCTGAGGGGGGGTGTTATTCCTGGTGAGGGGGCGGGGCCCCGCGGGAAAGGGACGGGCGGAGGGGTGACGTCACGGGAGGAGGCCGGGCGAAGACCCGGAAGTAAGAACCATTAGGGTAAAGCGATGCTTTTGCTAATACAGCCAGAGTTTTTTTCGGGGGTTGGGGATCTATTGCTAATTAATCCAACATTTTAAAAAGGCCTGCTATTATTAATGCATTCAGAATTGGAAAAGCAACTATTAATCCAAGATTGAAAAAGTATCAATAATTCCTCCAGAATTGAAAAAAAATATTATTAATGCATTCAGAATTGGAAAAGCAACTATTAATCCAAGATTGAAAAAGTATTAATAGTTCCTCCAGAATTGAAAAAAAATCTATTATTAATGCATTCAGAATTGGGAAAAAAACTATTAATCCAAGATTGAAAAAGTATTAATTCATCCAGAATTGGGGGGAAAAATTACTGCTATTGCTAATTCATCCAGAATTGGAAAAATATTAATTATTCATCTGGAACTGGGTAAAAAAAAATCCCCTGCTGTTGCTAATTCATCCAGGATCAAAGAAACATTGTTATTAAGTCATCCATAATTGAAAAAAAACTCTACCTTTATTACTAATTCATCCAAGATTCGGGGGGGGGGGGGATTCTATTGCCAAACTTTAGCAATCCTAATTGCATTAAGAATTAAACGGGGTTGAGGTCAGTTGCCTAAGCAGAATATGCCACGGAACGTTATTTGGCCATGGAGGTGTCTTCGTTCCTTAAAATACTGTTTGAAGGAGCCTGCTTTTATTACATTCATAAATGCATCCTCTTTTTATACAAGAGAGGGGTAACTGAGGAAACACCGACGGGGTTTTGACAGCAGCTAATGTCGTTGAGGAGCTGGCTGACGATCAGACACCAACTCCCAAGTCTCAAGTGCTGCTGCCTCAAGTCCAGTCTGGACCAGCAGCTGCTGGGAAGACCAGACGAGGAGCTGCTGCTTGCAGAGGAAAGTCTAAGCATTTTCTGTTCTGTCCTGTAGGTACTCCACCCGCCATGACACGGTCACTATTGATCCAATGTATGAGAACGGGACTGTTTGCTCGCAGAAAGCGTTGCTGACCACCCGCTCTCTGCAGGCCACAAAGCTAGCCAGTGTGATAATAGCAGAGGAGATAGGTAGGTGGGGACCGCTTCAAGTTAAACAATTTGCACTGCCTGGAGTCCAGGAAGAGAGCCGTCTCTGCCCTGCCTTCTGGAATACTCTCCTCCAGAAGCAGCATTCCCCTGGCCTTTTCAAAAAATCTAACGATGCAGCTCTGCCTTCTGTCTGGGATGGGTTACAGCAGGGATGTCCAAGACAACAACAACAACATCATCATCGAGTTGGAAGGCACCTTGGAGGTCATCTAGTCCAACCCCCTGCTGAGGCAGGAAACCCTATACCATCTCAGACAAATGGCTGTCCAATCTCGTCTTAAAAACCTCCAATAATGGGGAAGGGAGGGAGGGAGGAAGGAGTAACAGAGTTGGAAGGGACCTTGGAGGTCATCTAATCCAACCCCCTGCCCAGGCAGGAAACCCTATACCATCTCAGACAAATGGCTGTCCCGTCTCTTCTTAAATGTTGGAGCATTCACCGCTTCTGGGGGCCGGTTGTTCCACTGGCTAATTGCTCTCACTGTCAGGAAGTTTCTCCTTAGTTCTAGGTTGCTTGTGGACTTCAACTCCCAGAATTCCCCAGCCAGGATGGCTTTTAAGACATGCGGACTTCAACTCCCAGAATTCTCAGGGGTGCCACTTGCCGGCTCTTTGGCCAACTGCAGGGCCTGGCTGATGGGATAGGTTTGCCATTGTGTCCAGCGGCCCCTGCTGGGCATTCAGAGCAATTGACAGAAACCCATCAAGCGCTGCTTAGCCCAGCTGTGATTTTTTGCAAGGAGGGGGGGGTCCTTTTCTTCTGAAAGAAGACCCTTCCTGGCAGGCTGGTTGGGATCTTCAGCATTGAGAGAGCGGAACAATGGAAAGTCGCAGACCTTTTGGGACCAATCCGCTTTCTCAGATCCTCTAACGAAGAATGAGAGGTCCTAACGTGAAATTTGAGATGATTAAGGAAGCGTTTGTCTGGTTGACTTCAGCCACCCTGTTTTTTTGCTGTCTGGCAGCCGAGAACAGGAGACATGAGGTCGTTTGTTTTTCCAGTGACCGGCCACTTGCTCCGTTGCGACATCATCGTGGATCTGATTGAGCAGGTGGAAATAGTCTCCCGAACTCGGGAGATCTACGTGGAAGACTCTCCCTTGGAGCTGAGCGTCAGAGCTTTAGATGCTGAAGGTGCTGACTTAGATTCGGATCCTGCCCAGCCCGGGGATTGTCACCCAAGCCCTTCCTGTAACCCATCTTCCTAGATACCTGAAGCGGGCAGAGCGAACGAAAATGTCTTTTCCCTGAAAGACCTGCCTGCTACCTTCACTGGTGTGCTTTAGTACCTGGGAAAAATACATTCCACCTGCGGGGAGGAGTGTAAAAATTCAGCCCCTCAGAACTAAGAATTGCCTGACCATCATCGTATCTACCCTGGCCCCAAGTCCACTCCTGGCTTTCTCTCTTGCAGGAAACACCTTCAGCAGCTTGGAAGGGCTGGAATTCGAGTGGAGCG